TCGCGCCTCGCGGGCCGAGGGGAGCTGGACAGAGACCTCCACCTCGTGCACTACCTGCGGCCTCCTCAGCAGGCCGAGCCGGCCACGCCGATGGAGCTCGGCCCCGCGCACGCGAGCCCGCCCGACACGGCGCCGCTCGAGGCGCGCGTGCGCCAGCTCGAGGCGGAGAAGGAGGCCGCCGCCGGCGCCGCCGGCGCCGGCGCGGGTCGCGCCGCAGACGTCGAGGGGCTGAATTAACGAATTAACTGACGAATTCACCAATTAATTAGGCTCGCATCGCAGAGCTCGAGGCGCGCGTGCGGCAGCTCGAGGCGGAGAAGGCGGCGGCGGCGGCGGCGGCGGCCTCCTCGGCGGACGACGCCTCCCCGTGGTCGTCTCCTCGCGCGCGCGCCTCTCCATACGCGACTACGACCGCGCCGGGGATGGGCGGCTTCTTCGCGGCGTCGTCGGACCTGCTCCCTCCGGCGGCGCCGCCGCGCGCCCTCGCTCCGCCGCCGCTCCTGTCGCCCCGGGCGGCTGCGGGGGCGGCGTGTGGCGGCTCGCCGCGCCCGTCCGAGTCGCCCGACGGAGGCGTCTTTGAGGCTCCGTCCGAGGCGTTTGCGATGGCCGTCTCCCTCACCGCGGAGCCCGAGGTTGGCCTCGAGCGACAGTTCCGCGAGCTCTTCCTCACCCTCGAGCCGCGGTCCAGCACCGGCGAGCGGGGCGACGCGGGCGCGGCCGCCGCCGCGCATGCTGAGTGGATGGACCAGGGGGGTGCCTCTTGCCGGCCGGAGCCGACCGCCGCCAGCTCCGCCGCTTCCCCGCACTGCGCCGCCCCTCCCGCCGCCTCGCCCGCCGCCGGCGCCGAGCCGCTCCCGCCCTCCCTGCTCCAAGCGCCCGAGTCGCCGTTTGTGCTCCGACGCGCACTGCAGCCGCGGGAGGCGCCGTCCGCGCAGCGCGCCCCTCCGCCGCCGAGCGCGTTCTCGCCGCCCGACGCCCTGAGCTCGCCACTGCCGCTGCCTCCGCCCTCTGCGGCCGAGTCGCCTCGCGGGCTGTCGCCCGCCTCCGCCCTCTCGCCCGCCGCCGCCGCCGAGTCGCGCGAGCGGGCGGCACGGCTGGCGCGGCTGCAGCGCTCGCTGCGGGTGGCGCTGCAGCATCGGGAGCACCGGCATCGGCACCACCACCACCCCTACGCGGGCGGCGGCGCCGGCGGAGGAGGAGGAGGGAGGCGGCCGACGGCTGGCGCCGAGGCGGGCGCGGACTGGAGCGCGTGCAGCCTCGGCGTCCTCAAGGGGGCGCAGGTCCGCTTCCGCACGCGCAAGCAGGCGGACTCGCGCCAACGCGCCGCGCTCGCCATCGAGCGCTTCTACCGGAAGCGGCGGCGCAGCCCCGCGCGCGAGCTGAGCGCGTCGGCGGACGAGGCGGCGCACTTGTTTGAGCGCGACACCGTGCTGCTGGGCCGGCTCGCGGTGCCGGCGAGCCCCGCGGCGGCGGCGGCAGGGGTTTGCGGCCCGTCTTCGGCCCTGCCGCCCCTGTGCGAGGAGGAGGCGCGCCCGCCGCCGCTCTCCCTCCCGGCCGGCGCTTGCTCGAGCCCGCCGCTGACGGCCGAGGCGCGCGCGCGGCAGCTCCGCCGCTCGGCGGTGCGAGTCATCGAGAGGACCTACTCGGAGTGGAAGTACCACGCAGAGCGCGCGCGGCTGGCGGCGGAGGGGTCGTCCGAGGGCGGGCCGGACGCGGCGCTCCACTCGTACCACGCCGAGCGGCGCGCGTGCGCGGCGCGGTGCATCCAGCAATACTTGGCGCGGCCGCAGCTCCAGCCGGCGGCGGGGGTGGCGGAGGCGGTCGTCGGGGCAGGGGCGGCGGGCGGGGCGGCGGGGGCGGCGGCTTCGGGCGATGAGTGCGGCTACACGCCGGCGCAGCTCGAGTTGATCCGGCGCGTGCAGCGGCAGTTTCGCGCGCTGGTGAGCAAGCAGGCCGAGGCGGCGCAGGAGCTGCACAACACGTCGCTTCGCGAGGCGAGCTCGGCGGCGGGGACGCTGCCGCAGCACGAGCATCTGTGCGCGATCCTGCGGCAGGTCTACCGTGAGCGCAAGGCGCGCGAGGCGGCGACGCGGGCGAGGGGGGCGGGGGGGCGGTGAAGTGGGGGGGCGTGTGACTTGGTTCTGCTGGTCCGGTGGGCGCGTGTCGAGTGTCTGAGTTGTGCTGGTCCGGCGGAGCGCGGCGTAGCGGGGGAGAGCGTAATAGCGTAGTGAGAGAGTGTAGCGCGGAGTACGTGAGGCGCAAGTAGGCGCGGGGAGTACCGAGTGCGGGCTGTAGTCGAAATCCTTGGCGCTTGGGTGTTTCTGTTCGAAGTGATCGCGCCGCTGCTGCTGGGTCGGTCGGTCGCGCGCGCACCTCGAGGAGGTTTCACGAGGATTCGTCCTCAAAGAGGAAAAGAAAAACGCGCGCGAGCAGTGTCGGCTGAGTCGAATGCCGCCTGGCCGATCGCAGCAGATCACGGCCATGCTTCATAGCACGCACACCTACCTCGGCCAGCACGGGCTGAGCATGCTTATGTGCCAGCACGGCGGCGGCGACGACAAGGCGCGCGCAGAGAAGATGTGGGATCAGAACGCGGCGTCGGCGCGCGACGTGTACGAGATGTGCAAGACGATCGAGGAGATCAGTCCAAAGATGGCGGGGGAGATGGGCAGGATCCGCAGCCAGCTGACGGGCCTGATTGGCGGCAAGGCGACCAAGGGCACAAAGCGCAAGCGCGCGGGCAGCGTGGCGAGCAGCAACGGCGCGGTGGTGCTCGCGCCGGCAGAGGAGGAGACACTTGCAGCTCTGGAGGCGGAGATCGGACGGCTCAAAGCTGCGAACGAAGATGCGACGACGACCGTGGGCGAGTGGGAGATCAAGTGGAAGGTGCGGGCGAAAGTGTCTGGCTCCGGGGTAGCCGGAGACTTCGCCGCCACAAGGGCCGGCGGCAAGCAGTGTCGCTCCATCAAGGGGCTCCGTGCCCTGCTGGCAGGGTCGGCCTGACCACGCTGCGGAGGGCGCCTGCCAGAGGAACGACGCTCGACCCACCCGCGCGCTGTAGACCTGTCTACCATGGGCCTCGCTGCCAGCTCACTGCCGCACCGGGAGCGCCTCGGTCGCTCTCATAAGTGCGTTCGTACTCTCCATGTCTAATACTAAGTTATACGGTGCCATGCATGTTGTCGTTTACATTAGACATTAGAGCCACATGCGTGTACCAGTACCGCCCGACGGGGGCCTCTCTCTCCGCGACCGCGTCTCCCCCGCCGCCACATCTCTCAGCTCCGGCCTCCGCACGCTAGTTTTGTTTCTGCTGCGCCATTTCCCTTCTCGTCGCGTCCTGCAGCAGCTCAGTGTCCACCTCGGAAGCAGGCAGCTGCACGTACTTGATCACCGAGCCGCGGATAAAGCACGTCTTGACGGATTGCTGCGCGGCGATGCGGGTGGCGCTCCAGGAGAGGTTGATGCGAGGAAGGGGGCGAGCGGAGTGGGGAGCGTGAGGTGCGGCGGCCGGGCACACACCATGTGCGGAAAGTTCTCGCGGTCGTCGACCGTCACCTGGAGCAGCTTGACGTTGAGGAACTGGTCGACCGAGTGCAGCGTTCCGCGAATGGCCAGATCTGCAGGGCGAGCGCGCCCGAGTGAGCTGCCGCAGTGATCGGTCGGGCCGGCGGGACGAGCGGGCGCCATTCTTCAGCTCGACCACCACCTCCTTGCCCACGAGGGTCTTGAAGAAGCTGAAGAAGAGCTGCAGCGAGAGAGGCTGCACATCAGTCGCCGGCGAGCGGTCCCAAGGCCTTGGGGTCTTCGCGCCGCTGGGCATCGCATCGCGCCGCGAGCGCGCGCGTGCGGGCGTGCTGGGCGATCAGCGTGGGTCAGACGCACCATGGTGACGGCGGGCCTGGCTGAGAAATGGCGCGCGCTGCACTCTAGAACGCGATGACAGAAAAGAATTTTGCCGTGCTAAAATCCGTGTGGGCTACGCGCTCCTCGACCCAGCCCTAGCTTGGGATGTCCGTTATATTTATTTATTTATTGCTACGCGCAAGCCTCGCAGCACGAAGGAGGGCCTGCGTCAGCGCAAAGACGAGGCGATGAGAACGGTGATCACAGAGAGAGATAAAAAAGAAGGGAGAGAAAGCAAGAAAACAGAGAGCCCAAACGAGGGATAGGGGAGATTTTTAGTAAAAGAAAGAAAGAAAGAAAACAGACAACCCAAGATTTTTAGTGTTGTTGTTTGGGAGTGAGAGAGATTTGTTTTTGTTGTTGGTGATCAGCGATAGGGGCGCTGGAGTGGCGAGGAGCGAGCGGGCGTTGCTGACTCGGGCGGGAGGGGTGCAGGTGCACCTCTGTCAGCAAGATATGCAGAGACACAACCCCCGCCGATCTCCCGCCTAAACTGGCCCGCAAAAACCTTCAAGTTTGACGTCCGTCCGACGCGGGTCCTGCTCGCGGCAGCGCCACGAATTTTAGGACGTTTCGACTTCCGTGGCACTCGACGCGCACGCGCGCGGCGCTCATCGCTCTTTTCGCCGCCACTGCGAGCGCAAAGCGAGGCAATTCAACTCGCGGCGCTTGTCACGAGCATTGCTACCGAAAGACGGGCAAAGGTCGAAAGCCATGGAGTAACAAGTGCGGTTGGTGGCGTTGCGAGGGGTGCGCAGAATGTCGCAGCCCGTCGTCGACGACGCGCTCGCTTCCTGCGATTGCTCCCAGATCGCAGCAGAGTCCACCCATCTTGCTGTTTGTGGCCGGTCTCCAGGGTACGGGCCATCACTTCTGGTGCAAGGCGCTCAAGGAGGGCTGCAGCACGTGCGGCAGCAGCGGTGAGCTCCGAATGGCGCTTGGCCAGCTGTGGGGCGTCGGGCGGGCCGCCGAGCAACAGGCAGGTGAGGCGCGGCGGCTGACGAGCCGACAGGATGCTCGGTCCGCCGTCGCCAAGATTCTCGCCCGCGCCACCGCCTCCGACGAGCCGGGCGGCGAAGGTCGTCGCGTGATCGTCGCGAACGTGCTCGAGCACGAAGCTCTCTCTGGCGGTATGTTCTCCTACCCGAACGGCAACCTGTGGTGCGCGCCAGCACCCAGAGCGGAGGCTCCGTCCGACTGGCTTGACGCCGGAGCCGCCCGCGTGCCGCGCGCAGGCACCACCCAAATGTGACCGAGCTGGCAGAGCTGGCCGTGCAGGCGCGCATGGAGCTGCGCGTGGTGCTACTGCAGCGCCAGCCCCCAGGATTGCTCGGCGCGATGCAGCACGGCGAGCAGCGCCTCGCCTGGCTCGAAAAGCAGGCCGAGAGCTGGGGGGCACTACCGCCAAATCGCACGCTCACACCAAGGGGCCCGGCGCTAGACACGTACGCTCGGGGACTCGCGTACTCCGCACGCCTGCTGGCGGAGCAGCTCCGTGCCACGGCGCTGGCCCCCTCGGCCATCGCCTGCGTGTCGTACGAGGGGCTGCTCGCCGACAGTGGCGCCGAGGCGACCGCTATAGACAGACTCCTCGCCGACGTTGGCACGCACATCGCAAGCGCCGCCACCCAAACGTTTCAACGGCCGGTTCACGACGACACAACGGTGCGTCAACCGGACGAGGCGGCGGCCAGCGAGCTGGAACGAGCGACCGCGGAACTCGACAGGCTGTGCGCCGTGGCCAAGCACGCCCCACCGAGAGCTAAGCGAGTAGCCCAGGCGCCGGGAGGGCGAACTTGTCCCCGTTGGGGAGGAGGCCGCACTGGGGCGTGCGCGCAGGCCTCCAGCAGAGGCGTCGAGCGCGCACAGCGTCTCTCTCACTGCTTGATCGCCCGAAGCGAGGCGGCGCTGCCCGAGCACGAGCGCGAGAGGTTCCGCGGGTGGGCCGCGCCGGCGAGATGGGCGATGGGCGACGGCGTTCGTCTGCAGCTCATCCCCAAGGCGGCGTCCGCGAGCCTTCGCCAGGCAATGGCAGATGCATATCAAGTGCGGTCCTCCAATGGCAGCTCTTGGACCTTTGGGGGCGGGATGGACGAAGACGACTTCCCGCGGCGGCTCTCTCCAGCGCAGGTTGCCCTGTTTGGGTTTAGCTTTGTCGCGCCGCCTGAAAGGCGGCTGGTGTCTGGACTACGTCAGTTGATGGGCAGCATATCATCCGCTTCGGCTTGCAGCGAGTCGGGGGCCGCCGAGGTGCTGAGGTCCCTGACAGAGCCGGGATCTCGCGACCAAAACGTGCACCTTGCGCCGCAGATGTGGCTGCTGCAGAATGCGGCTGACGACCTCTTTCGCGCCACCGGTGCGATGGGGTCGCCGCTAAAGTTCTTGGGTCATGCTACCCGTGAGGCCGAGAGCGACTGGCGCGATCTGCTTGCAGCGATGACGGCGGCCGGCGTCACGACGCTCCCCGCATCGCAGATGCCGCGCCTGCACGAGACAAGCCAGGAGTGCCCCCTCCGGCAGCTCGGGCGCTTTGCAAAGCTCGGCACGTTCCCGGCGGAGATGCAGGAGAGGGTGTGCGACCTGCTGAGGGACGACTTTTACTGCCTCGGCTTCACGATTCCGCCCGAGTGCTGGCCCAACGCGCGCACGTCGCCAGAGGCTCGTCTACGCGCCTGGCTCGGCTTCCGACCGAGCGATGTGCTGCTGCGAGTGATGTCTTTATCGGATCCCGACACGGTGTGGCGTCGTCAGCGGCAACGGGGAACTGCCAGATCCGAACCTTGCGCTTCAGACCATCGCAAGCAGCACACGGGGGGCGCTACACTGCTCCAAGACCTACGCAGCCGCTGCAGGCGGGGCCTCGCAGTCATCGACGGCGCTCTTCCAATCCGTGATGGTCTTGGGCATACCCTCCTCCGCCGCGTTCACATCGCCATGCACGCGCATGCACTAAATTGCCCAGTGCTCGTGCCCGACGAAAAGTCCACCGCAAGATCGCCGTGTGTCGGGGTCTACTTTGACCCGGCCGCTGTCGGCGCCAATGTGTATTGCCACCAGATGCACGGCTTCCGGGTCGCCCAGTCCTTGACCGGGCGCAGGGATTGCAGCGACTTTTGGTGAGCCCCTCGCGCGGGACGCCTCTGAAGCCCCGCCGCCTCCCCGCCCAGCTCTCATGGCCTTGCATCAGGTGCTTTGACCTGCTCGAAGACCCGTGGCAGGGCGTCTACGAGAGCACCCTCGAGCGCAAAGAGGGAGAGAACGCTTCCGGGCTCATGTTTCCACCGCAGGACCCTCCTCTGGCGACGCCGCGGATGATCGAGGCCGAGGTTATCGACCCTTGGCCTTTGCTGAAGCTGCCACCAGAGGAGGCCGGCGCAAGGCGCGCGCTGAAGCGCCTCCGCTCACAATTCTTTAAACCATGGCTGCACGTCGGCTGTGGAGACACCCCAAGACAGGTGGCATTGCAGCCGGCGCTGCGGATTGGCCTGCACATTCGACGCGGCGACGCATTCGCGACGGCGAGGTACGAGTATGCGAAGGAGGACGCGATGTCTGGCGCCGCCAAGCGGATTCGGATCGACCGCAGGAAGGCTGGCGACATGGGCTTCTGGGTCGTCCTCCTCAACCACCTCCTCGAGGAGCTGCAGCCCGGGCCAGGGGCGGTTGTGGTGAGCGCCTTCACCGAGGTGTCCCACCTGCCCGCCGCTGGCCGCCGAGAGCTGCCAGAGCTGAAGGGGTTTGAGCTCGAGCCGAGGCCCACGGTTGAGCCAGGCTCGCTGCCGTACTATCACGGACGCCTCAGATCGGACATGATTGAGCTGGATCCCACCTCCTCTCGACCCCGGCTGCGTACCTCGGTCAAGAGCGCAGCGAATGTCACAGTGCGCTTCTTCCTGAACACCCATCCGATGGCAACCCTCCGATGCATGAGTCTGAGCGACGTGCTCGTCGGCTCGCACAGCCACTTCACCTCTATTCCGACGCTCTTGTCGCCGGAGGAATCACGCACTGTCGTGCCGCCCGACTTTGAGTTCAGGCGGTGGTGCGGGGACGGGGGCGAGCAGCAGCAGCGCATGGAATGGTGCCAATCGCGCTTCGTCCCTACGGCTCTGGAGTGCGCTCTCCGCAGCGAGTGGTCCGAGTCCGAGCGGGAGGCGAGGTGCGCGAGGATCGCCGCGCTACTCGCCCCGCTGATCGCCCGGCTTAGACTTCCCGCCGACGACGCCATCACCCGGGCGGCCACTCACGCTGGCTCGGGTTCGTGGGTAGTTCCGAGACTGCAGTCGTTCCCCTGCGAGGAGAGCATCATCGAGCGGGTGATCGCATGGGGGATGGGACTCGGGCTCGGGGTGGGGATCGGGCTGAGCATTGGCGCTAGTAGCCATGCCGCTAGGCGCCTGGGCTCCCCGTCCCGTTGAAAGTACAAGCAGGAGCTCTCTGAAACCTCCACCGCAGCCAGAAAGAGTGTGTGTGGGGGCTGTGGGGCACGAGAGACGGCACGCGAGAGGCTCTCACTGTCTGACGTGTGCGAGCCGTAGTTTACGTCGATCCTCTCGCGTTCGAGAGACAGATCCAAGGATTGCAGTGTTTCGCAAATCTCCATTTTTCTTTACAGAAATTATTGTACGAGTGTCACCGTGCGCTGATCCAATCATCGCGCCGGCAGTAGAACAGGATGGACGGCGCATCGCCGCAGCCGAGGCGGGCGCGCACCTCCGCCTCTGAGAGCTGTTCCGCAGTCTCGTCGTCGAAGAGTGTCCAGCCGTCCACATGGGCAGCACCGGCGCGTAGAGGAGAAGCGTCGGCCTGGGGCGGCATTGAGGGCGGCGTTGAGGACGGCGGCGGCGACGGCGGCGGCGACGGTGGCGGCTCTCGCTGCCGGGCAGCTCCTCGCTTGCCCCGCCTCTGGCTCGCGCGGCCCTCCGCCGGCGTGGCGCGCCGCTGCGGGCCGGCGGCAGGGCGGACGCGCGCCGCCAGCGAGGCGGAGCGGGTGGCGGAGCGCGTCTGCCGCCGCGTCGGGGGCGGGTCCGAAGAGCGGCCACGCTTGCCCTTCTCGCGCGCCGAGGACCTCGTCGCCCGAGGCGTCTGGGCCGCCCCCGCCGCCGCCGCCGCCGCCGCGGCGGCGGCGGGAGTCCGAGCCGCGGCGGGCGTCTTGGCGGCCGCGGCGGGGGCCCAAGCCTTGGCTGCTGGCTCGGCCTCCTCCCGCGCCTCGCGGCTCTGCTGCCGCTGCGGGGCGTGCGTGCGTGTGTACGCCACGTAGTGCCCCCTGCCGGAGGCCCCGCGGTGAACAATCAGCGACACGAGCTCGTACGAGGCGAACCCTCGGCCCGCTTGCCCGCCCGCCACGCCGCCCTCCTCCGCCACCCCGCCCTCCTCCGCCACGCCGCCCTCCTCGTGCTCGAGCGGCAGCCGCAGCACCGGCGCCCACCCGGCCCACTGCCCCGCCCCTCCCTCCGCCCCTCCCTCCGCCCCCTGCGCCCGCCCCGCCTCCCCGCCCTCCAGCCCTCGCAGGGCGGCACGCTCGCACCGGCCGGGCCGAAGGTGGAGGACGAGGACCCGGGCCGCCCGCACGTGGCTGGTGGTCCGGTTCGCGTCGCAGAGCGCGCAGCACTCGCCGCACGCGTACTTGTCCGCCCCGCGCAGCGTAGCGGCGAGCTGCTGCGGCGCGGAGAGGGCGTCCTCGATGCTGCAGCGAGGCGGGCGGCGCGCGCCGAGGCGTGCGGGCGCGGCGGAGAGGGACAGGTGCAGGAAGGGCTCGCGGTGGCGTGACACGTTGTCGCATGTCAGGCAGCGTGTAGCGTGGCACAGCAGCCCCTCCCCCCACCCGGCCGGCGGGCGGCCCATCTCGGCCTCGAGCGACGCAAAGAGGCAGCTCAGAGTCTCGAGCGCGCAGTGCTGGACGTTGACCGGCCGCAGCGCCGAGTGGCGAGCGCGCAGGCGCTGGAGCAGCACGGCGGGAGAGAGCGGCGCCGAGGAAGGCGCGCCGCGCTCGGCTTCGGCGGTGGCCATGGCGGAGAGAAGCGCGGCGAGGCTGTCGGTGACGCCGCCGCGGGTGGCGCCCTCAGCGAGCGCCCGCTCGAGATCACCACGGAGCCCCGCCACGCTGCGAACCGCCTGCAGGACCGCGTTAAGAAAGCAGCTCTGTCCGAGGTTGAGAAGCGTGGCGGCGGCAGCGGCGGCAGGAGGAGAGGCGGGCAGCGGCTCGGCGGGCGACTCGGCCGGCGGCAAGGCGGCTACGGCCTTTAGAGAGAGGCGGCTCCGCCGTTCCATCTTGTCGAGTGCGGGAGCAAAAAAGAATAACACGGCAGCTCAGCGGAGCTGGGAAGAGGACCGCCGCAAGCGGCGTTGCGTGGAGCGGTTGTGCATCCCTCCGGGGGCCCCTCTGCGCCGGGGAGGCGTTGTTGGAGGCTAGGACGCAAGCGTCCGTCGCCCTTTTCAAACTCGGGGCCCACTCCGCTACGCTCCGACCCGAATTTGGAGGGCCTAAAAGTTTAAGGTGTTGCTGCGCAAAAGGGGTCGGACACAGGGCGCAGCTCATGCTAAGAGCTAGAAGAGGAGATAGAGAGACAACCACACCAACACCACAAAGCTCTCTCTCCTGCTCCTCACTCAAGGGGGGGGGGGTTCACGACTACCGAGTCCCTAGAGTCTAGCTGCCACGTTCAAAACCAGGACGGCGACAGTGATGGTGCTATCACGGGCATGATCGGGGGAAAGTGGAGCGGGGGGGTGAGCGTCAGCCAGCCAGGTACGGGATAGTAGAGCAGGTGCTTTGTGGGTGGCGGTGGGCGGCGGCGCTGGGGGGCTGGCCGAAGCGTTAGCTGAGCTCCTCCCTCAAGCTCGAGCACGCATGACGCACGTTGAGTGACAACGTCGGCGAGCTTCTGGATCAGGTTAGGTTGCCGGAGCACCCATGGCTACACCTCCAACTCCTCCTCTGAGTCAGACACGACAATGTCAACTGCGCCCTCCTCCTCCCATTCGTCGACTGCGCCCTCCTCCTCTCCTCCTCCAATTCGCCGACTGCGTCCTCCTCCTCCATGGGCTCGATCCGATTCCGCAGCGTGTCGTCCCCAGAGGCGCTGTTGCGCGGGAGGCGGCCGCGGGCACGCTGGGCTCGATCAGCGGCTTCCCCTCAAGTTGCGCCGAAAGAGCACGGATTTGGCGGACGTCTGGTTTCCGTAAAACGAAGCGATGTCTGGCACCAGCTGAAGGCTTGCGTCCCACATCGTCGGATTCCTGCACGGTATTCGGATTTTGCTATTTGCTCGTGTGGGGGTGTATTGCAGATTTGTCAATGGTACCGCGTCTGCGACGCGGGCGCCTTGCGTGCAGAGCCCTTAGCCACCCTTTTATCTTGCGCGGTCAAAAAGCGGACGTACCTCGTGTGGCGCACGCAGCTTCCTCCATCTTGTTTCGAGGGCGGGAGGGCAAAAGAATTTTTGACGCAAGAAGGAGGAAGTCGTGATTTGTTACCTAAAATCTCTCCCTGTGTGGTTGGTGGCGGCGTGCCGTCCTCCCATCCCTCCCTTGGGTTGTCTGTTTTCTTTCTTTCTTTCTGTGATTTGTTACCCTCCCTTGTTTCTGTGTTTTTCTTTCTTTTAGTCGTGATTTGTTGTTGGTTCTCAAAAAGAGCCACATACACTGAGAGAGACGGTAAGAAGAAGCCGTCAAACGCAAAGAAGAATGCAACACGCCAGGCCGCTGCCGCCCAGGCTCGGGCCGAGAGGGAAAAGGCCCTCGACTTTTGCTCAGGGCGCAGGGCAGGTTGACGGCGTCTGGTACCTCGACTCCAAGGAACTGAAGCTTGCACTCGACAGGTGGGAGCGGAGGAACGACTCCGACGCACAAACAACTCTAACACTCACACGTAATTTGGGGCCTGGAGCCCTGTTCACGCGCGCGCGAGACGTGCAGACAGGGTTGCCAGGTGAGAGCGAATGGCGCGGTTCACGCCTCGCACAACAGAGAGAGAGATGCGCTCTGCATGGTGGGACATAAAAGAGAGCGAGTACTTGGGCGAGTAGGCTGTGCGGTCAACGCTGCCGCGCGCGACTTTGCGCGCGAGGCGGCGCAGCTTGAGAACGGCGGTGGGCGAGAAGCCGCCGCCGAACGTCTCGTGGAGCAGCAGGTTGAAGTTGTTGCGCTTGACAAAGATCGCGTCGTGGTAGAAACCGCGATGCGCCTTGACGTAGCCGTGGCCGGTCTTGTGGGAGAAGGGTTGGCTGGGCTGCCCGCGCGCCTTGCAGCCCATGTTCAGGCGGCGGGCCTTCTCTTCGGTGTTGCCGAAGGCGTAGGAGTGGCCGACGGAGGCGGGCGTGCCGCCACTCGAGGCGTTGCCAACGCCCGTCGAGGAGGTCTTGAGGAGGGGCGTCCAGAGCTTGATCTCATTCACTTCATCGCACCCCCCCCCGGTCCCGCATGGGGTTCTGCGAGGTCGACCTTGTACCCCTCGTTGTACTGCCGGGTGAGCTCTGGTTTCTCCTTGTCGCCGTGCACGACCGGCGCGTTGGCCGGGGCGCGCATCGCGTCCGCCCAGGCGGCGAGGACGCCGTCGTGGGGCCGCCGGTGGTGGGCCTTGTTGTAAAGGTAGTCGCCGAAGAAATCGACTGGCATGCCCCGCTCGAGCGCGACCCGACGCAAGCTCTCTCCCACAATCTCTCGCACAATCTCTCGAACCCTAGCTCGAACCCAGTGAGCGCGGCAGTGATGACTGCCCCATCCTCTCCGAAGATTCGTTCACCGGCTTCTCCGACTGCGCTGATTGGTAGGGCCCCCAAGGGCCTAGAAATCGCGCCTCCCTCTCCCTTGTCTCCCAGTAGCTAGCTAAAAGGTTGCAGAGCGGAGTCTTGTTAGGCAAACGCTGCTCTGTGGGGCCCCCTCCGCATGCATGGGGCGACGGCTCTTCCCAAAAGGCACTCTCTCTTCAATGGTTGACAGGTTCGAACGCAAAAGATTTTTACGGAAAAGAATTCGTGCGGAGCTGTCCCCCGCCCCCAGCCAGAGCGAGCGAGCGCACACACTCACACACACACACACACACACACACACACACACACACACACACACACACACACACACACACACACACACACACACACACACACACACACACACACACACACACACACACACACACACACACACACACACACACACACACACACACACACGCCAGCCTGGTCGCCGCTTCCCGCTCACCATGCTGCGCGTCTTCTACCTCACGACGGCTCTCATCAACATGCTGCTCTGGCTGCGCTGGTGGCACGTCGGCTACGCCAGAACGGATGATGCGCCCATCGTGACTTGCCCTTCGTGGCTTCCGGCGTCCGCCGTGCTCGCTCTGCGACGGCGGCCGATGTACTACACGCTGTGCCGCGCCGGTCCGCTGACGATGATCACCGCGGCCGCCTGGCCCGACGTGTGGATGATTCGCCTCGGTGCTGCCGCGTGGCACTCACTCTACGTCCTCGCAGAGACCTCCTGCACCCACTCGCACCGAGACCACGCGTCGCTGTACTCTGCCTGGGCGCTTGCTCTGCTGCCCGCGCACCTCGCGCATGGCGTCGCTCTCGGCGTGTGCGTCCACTTTGTGGCCTCGAGCGGCTTTGCCAAGCTTCACGTCGCGGGCGGCGCTGCTGCCTGGGCCGAGCCCTCCACCCTCGCGTCCATCCTGCGGCAGTACAACTCGCTGCCCATCCGCGAGGGCGGGCCGCTGCTCCCGCGGGCGAGCGCTCTACTCGTGCGCCATCCGCTCCTCGTCGCCACCCTCTCCGCCTTCACGCTCGTCTTTGAGTGCGCGCTGGTGCCCGCCGCGCTGCTGCTGCCGCTCGCGCTGCGGCCGCTCCTCGCGGCGGTGTCGTGCATGCTGCACGTCGGCATCGCGGCGGTGCAGAGCCTGGACATCGGGCTCTACTTTCTGCCAAACCTGGGCACCTACTGCCTCGGATTTGGCTCGTCCGTCCCCCTTGGCTCGCCCGGCTGGTGGTGCGCGATCGCCGTGTGCGCCGCCTCCGCGGCGCCGCTCCTCGTCCGGCGGAGGCTGGTTGCCGAGGACTGGCCGCTGACGCCGTTCGCGCTCTTCGCCTGGTCGGGCCCGCAGTGGCGATCCCTCTTTGCTCGCCTGGTCGACGGCGACACGCGGCTTGTGCTCGGCGCACGCGCGCCTCCGCAGCCCGGCCAGGTGGTCGTGCCGGCGGCGGGGCTCGAGGGGCGGCGGCCGGCGGCGGGTGCGGGGGAGGTGGCGTACGACGGGTGGGAGCAGGCGGTCGGTGAGACGCTCGTCTTCAACGAGGTGCTGCGCGGGCTCGACTGGGAGGCGATGGCGGCAGGAGGGCGCGCCGGAGGCTGGGCGCCGAGGCTGGCGGTCGCCGTCGAAAAGTGGCTGGCGGGCGGGCGGCTCGTGCTCGCCGGGACGGGCGAGCCCCTCCGCTACGCCTCGGTGGTGTCGGTGCGGAAGGAGGAGGGCGGCGGCGGCTTGGATGTGGTGTGCGAGGTGCTGGCGACGGGTAAAGGGGAGGGGAAGGGGCTGTAGTTTTTCCAACGAGCGGGATTTGTTTTTTAGAGCCGAGCCGAGAAGTGTCTCTACGTGGTCGGACGGGAACGAGATGATAGTAGGGAGTACAGCAACGGCGTCACTGCCACCGCTGCTGACGTTGGTGAGGAGCGACTCGAGCATCACCTGCAGGCGCTCCGGTCGAGACCTGGTGTTGTCTGCGAGCCCCGGATCAAACCTGTGCACGATGCTCGAGCCCCACCCGCCGGGGAAAATCCTCCTCGGCTTGCTCCTCGTCCTGCTCGCAAAGAGGCCGGTGACCGCGCCCAGGAGGCCACGGCTTGAAGAGGGCGCGACGATGCAGTACTCAAAGCCACCCGCGCCAAACGCAATCTGCTCGACAGTGCGCCAGTGATAGAAACCGGCGCCGCTCTCGGCGGCGCGAAAGAGCTCGCACTCTGGGCCGTCCGGGAGTAGCTGCAGCATAAGGGCGCTATCTGGCGGCACCTCTCCGTAGACGTGAATCATCGCCTGGCGATCCTTGCGCCGCACGGCCTGGCGCCTTGTCCAGTCGCCATCGACCGTGCCGAGCGGGGGGAAGTCATCGGCGGACGCGGACGCCAACGCCGGGGCAGCAGATGACGTTGCAGAATGTGCTGTCGACGAAGATGCGGCGTTGCTTGCCATCGTCACGTCCGCGCTGCTGCCTGCCATCGTCGCGTCCACGCCACCGTCTGCAGCGGTCTCGACGCCAGTGCTGTGCTCTCTCCGCGCCGAGGCACGCGTTAGCCGCGCATCCATCGTTGACGCGCAGTCAGCCGCCCTCCAAAGGGCGCGGCCGCGTCCCCTTTTGACTCGTGCGTGGTCACTTGCGCCGGCCAAGTGACCACGAGAGAATCCCGCGTAGCGGTTGCGAATTCGGCTGAATTAGACCTTGGGTTGTCTCTTTTATTTCTTTCTTTCTTTTCTAAAGGTCCGTCGCCGGCTGTCGCTCTTTTGCCCGTGAATTCTTTTTCGCTTGGAAGAAATCTTTTTACCACAGCCTTCATTCAGACCGGCCACAGCCACAGGAGTGTGGGGCGCGCTCGCGCGCGAGCTTTCCCAGAGCAGAAGTGATAGAGTCTTGCTCACCGGACATGCTCCTCCCACCCTTCCTGTGCCTCTCGCTCGTCGACACGGCGTGGCAGCTCTCACTGAGCATCGGCCGGCCCTCCTCGGCCGACGCTGCAGCACTGCTCGGACCGCCGCTCGCCATGTTCACCCCGGGCGGTGGCCGGCCACAGCCTCCTGCGTGGCTGGGGCGCGAGTGGGCGGGCTCGGGCTCCCGGCTGAGCTTTCCTCTCACCATCGAGTTCTTCGACGAGCCTCTGCGGCAGCCCATGAGCGACGAGCCGCTCCGTCGAACGCAGGCTCGGCGCCTCTTCACGCGGTCGGAGCGGCTCGGCACCAAGGCGAGCGGCGTCGCGTGGGGCATGCTCCAGCTCTCCAGCATCGAGGCGCTCGTCGTGTGGTGCATCGACCTACCGGACGGCGTCTGCTCCTCCGCCGAAGGCGCCACGGCCAACTTGCTGCACGGCGGTCCGGCCATGATGAACGATGAATTATGATCAGTAATGAGTCGCTAGGCGCTCCGACCACTTCGGACGCAGGCCTTCCTGCCGGTACGCGCCTCTACTGCTCGACGCAGGCGTGGAGGAGCGCTGAGCTGCAGCGGCTGATGCCCTTGGCGGAGCGGCTGCGCAGAGAGCGGGCGGGCGAGAGCGATCGCGGCAAGCGTTCCGCCATCGACTCGCGCCTCGCCAAGCTGGAGCGCGCGCTTCCAAAGCCAGGCCAGGCCACGCTCGAGGCGCCGGCGCTAGGTGCAGTCACGCTGAGCGCTGCTGGCCAGCTGTCTGTGCAGCGGGCCGTGTCGGGAAAGATATTCAACCCTTTCGAGAACGCGGGCAGGCAGCCTCTCCCCAGTGGCACTGCTCTCCCCGAAGCTCCCGGTCGCCCGCGCTGACTCGCCCCCTCGCTGTGTCGTAGGCTGCCGTTCGGCTCGATTCCAGAGTTTGGCGTCGTGGGCTCGTTCCTCCTCGCGGCCCCGGGCGACCAAGCTGCGCAGCTGACCAGCGTCGATCAGGAGGCGGGGGATGTGGAGGTGGTTGTGGGATGAAGGTGTTGCGATGACTGAAATATCGGCTCGGAGGGCCGGGTGAGGGATAGAGGTAGGGCTGGCGTCGCAGAGGTAGAGGGAAAGGCCCGTCTGAACCTGCCCGCGGAGTCCAGAGATAGGTTAAAAGAGGTGTACCCGTGTTAGTGCCAGTGCGGGACTCTTACTAGCGGTACCGAATTGCATGTAAAATTCTTTTCCCGAGCCTCCTCTGGGTTCCGGCTGCAAGCCGGATAGGGGGTCTGTTGACACTGGCTGGCCCCTCCCAGATAGACTCGCAGATTAGGTAAAGCCGTAGGTAGGTTGGTCTTGTTTGGCCCAAAAGAGAGGGCCCTGCAATAGGTAGGTTACCCCGGCCTCGAGCCTTGAAATGAAAATCTGACAGTTGCCACCATTTCCCCATGGTGACCAGTATCCCCCTCCCCTGTACAGCCCGGAGCCGCCCAGCATCGGCACGCAAAGACCCGGGGGAGGCGACGGAGGGCTCGGCTGCAGTAGTCTCGTCTTCTAACCGCCTGCTGTTGGAGCCCTCTCGTGTCACTACCTGCACTGGTGCGGGAAGCCTACCTCTTGACACTGGAATTGGCACCCATGACCACCTTGGTGCTGCTCTAGCCACCAGTCAAATCGCGCCCCGCGGGCCGCTCTCTGATCGGTCTGCTCCAGAGGTCAACACTCACGGAGTCAATCGCCCTAAGGCAGAAGTCGATCTCGAGCGGCCGTAAGGCTGGGTTGGCGTCTCCAGGTAAACCCGCTGGATGAACACAGAGCGGGTCGAGGATGCCGCCAGCCCAAGTTGGAGTAATCGGGCACCACGACACGTCAGCTGTTCTCTACGCTCGACTGTCTGGTGGCCCTGGCTCCTCCTACCCCCAAGCTTGGATCGATCCACGTGGGGCGCTCCCGCCGCACGCGTGCGGGAGCGTCCCGACTCCGTCTGCCAGGTGCTGCGCCTTGGCCCCGTGGTAGTAGGTAGGTAGGTGTTACCTCACACTGTGTGACAAGGGAGGGCCCCCGCACACGGCACACACGAACCAGTCTTTCAGTAAGCGCGGGTTAGCCCTGGGTCCCACCCAGCACGGGTCAGCACGGGTTAGAACGGGTTATCATAACCGACGCTAACCCGGCACTAACCCGACACTAACCCATCCTAACGTATGCCCCGGAGCAGCGCGGGGTAGCGCCGGGTTAGTCTCGGGTTAGTCTCGGGTTAGTCTCGGGTTAGTCTGGGTTAGGCTTGGGATTGGGTTACGGCTCGTTCCACCCCTCTCTCGTGCGTTCACTCAATCGCCACACCACAGCCGCGGGCGCATGGCGAGCGGGACAGTCTCATGCCACAGGATCTATAATGTACCACCCTCAGCGCACTCCTCCTCCCTAGGGCAATCACTGGCACACGTTGAGTGTAAGCTTCGCCCGTCCTTAACCCATCCTCGCGTCCCGGAGCTACTGTGCTGCACCACGCACGCAGGGCTGCCCAACAGGCATGAGTGGGTTGTGGCACAATTTGCATGCCATCTTGCGGGCCTTGTGCTGGTCAACGTCAACCCTGTGCCTACCGAGGGCGTGAGTTGCAGAATCAGACCTCGCTGGCAGAGAGATAGATCTAGCAGCTACAGTCAGTCACGCCCTGCGTTTGGTGACCCTAGCTTTGCCTTCGTTCGATGTATGATCTATGAAGCGTTGGGGCATGCACAACAACATGACATGTACATGTGGAGAGAGAGAGATCTATCAGCTACAGTCAGTCACGCCCTGCGTTTGGTGACCCTAGCTTGCCTTCGTCTCTCTCTCGATGTATGAAGCGTTGGTGCATGTGCATGTTGTACAGTGTATTTCTTTTTCTTGGTCGATTAGATTTTTCCTGTAGATTTTTATGCAGCAATCGACGCCCGTTGCTAGACGCAGCGATCAATCCGCAAAGTGCTGGTCAGTGGTCACTCGTCTGCGGACGAAGAGAGAGAGGTGTATGACCTTCCTTAAGAGATGTAGGACCTTCCTTAGGCTTAGGTCCGCCTCTCACACCCTCCCTGTCGGCGGCGATTCTACTTGTTGTTTCTGATCTATCAACCTAGGAAATACCTAGGAATTTCACCTCTAACATCCCGACATGGAATTCCTATCCATGAATGGCGGCTGAGAGAGCGCGCCGGGCTGTCCCTGCGATCCTCTCGCTCCCTCTCTCTGAACGTCCCATGACTCCCCTCGAGGCGGAGCTGCTCAACTCCACCACTGTCGTATGTGTCAATCGCACTTCCGTTGTCAACGCCACCGAGACCTTCGTCCACTGCTTTGAGCCGTGGACGAATGAGGGCCAGGCCCGATTCGCCCTGGGCGTGGTTGGCACCATCTTAATCCTCCTCAGCATTCTTACCCTGTTTGGGGCTGGCGGCGCAGCGAAGCAGGCACCTGACGACGCGGAGATGGCGAACTCGCGCTCGGTGGACCTTGGCGCGTATGGTGAGGCTGGCAAGGGCGGCGACGGGGCCTTTGCTGCCGTCAAGGTCCTGTCGCCAGTCGCTTGGGCGTGGATAGGGGTCCGATCTGGACCTGAGGTTGCCTACTACTGTAGGCGTTTGCGGACTCGGTCCCGGGCTCCAATCTGCTCTGGAAGTCGTTGAAGTGGAAGCGGACGATGCCGGACGACGCCCCACCGGGCAGCCTGTACGCGGCGATGCGGCACAGCGCTGTCCAGCGCAAAAACTCTGGATTTTACGCTATGGCCTGAGGGAGAATGGAGTTTGTCGTGAGGGGAGGCCAGTCGCCATGAGCCAGTCGGTCCCCGCGCCGGCCGCGCCCGCGAGAGAGCGCTCGTGCCCGGCCTCCCCGCCGCCCGCCCGCGCCGCGAGGCGTTCACCTTGTATCAACCCATGCTCGTCTCGACGCTCTCGTGTACAGTAAAGACACCAGGTTCCGACACCGAGCCCTCTCCCGTCGCCGCCGTAGGTAACGCGTAGGAATTTAAGGAAGCATCAAACACGGCTTTAACCCTTTGGAGCCCCCGCCGCTCTTCATGGCGCTTCGGGGCCTTCTCCGGGTTCTCGGCATGTCCGGGATCATCCGATGTCTCGGCCCGGAGGGCCGGGTAGGAGGGGTCTAGGTTACCTCTACCTCTGAGGGCCTGCGGCCCTCTTACCTTTACCTCTGGGCAGCCGCGGGCCCTTTACCTCTACCTCTGAGCGACGTAGCCGTGATTTACCTGTGCGGTGATCTCCACAGTGATCTCGAGTGATCTCGCAGCTATCTCGTATCTGTAATTTTATTACATACTAGAAAAAAACAGAACGGCAGCGCACGTTTCGGTGCTTCGGCGAGCGCTCGACTCGGGCCGCGCTATCAAAGAGGCTTGCACTCACAAGCCCAAGCGCCATGGCACTGCCAACCCCAGATGGGGTCGTTGCTCTTGATCTGGATCTCAGTACATTGCCGGATGAGGCCGGCATCTATTGGCTGCAGCGCGAGACGGGTGCCCTTCCCGATAACCACCTTCTCGTACAGCTCATGCGGTCTGCAATGCTGGGCTCCATCGGCCGCTCGCCAACGAGTGATGAGCTGCCCACGCTGCTGGCCTGGCAACGGCAGCTCATGATGCGCGGCGGTCGTGCAATCAATCATCTGCTGATTGGCCCGGGCATGCACGGTCAGGGCAGCGATTGGAGCTCGTGCTACGTCAACCCCGCCAGCTTTCACGAGGTGACCAACCTCGCTGGATTCTCTTACGACACAGTGAAGCAGTCGATGGAGCGAGTTGATTACGGCACCTCCCTGCCCGATGTTCTCCGTGCACAGCTCGCCCTCGACGCCACCGGCGCTCTCTGCATCGAGACGGACGTCTCAAAGGTTTTCCTTGTGACGGCCTCGTCCGACGCGGGTGCATGTGCGCCCAACCTCGAGGTTGACACTGCGCGGCTGCAGCTGGTTGGGAGTGCCTTGGGCCCAATCACCTACGAGGAGCTCGAAGCAAAAATTAGCGATGGCTCCGCGCCAGAAATTGCCAGCAAGCTCAACACATCCGTGCTGGCGGTCATCGTACAGTCTCTGGCCTCCAAAAGCGGCTGCTCGAGGTACGTGACGATCGCGTCGTCATCCGCGATCGGCGTGATGACCTGCGCGCCGGACAGCACCAAGCTGTACCGCAGCATGACCGTATTGCCCAGCCTCAGCCCGGACGCGATCGAGGACTCAAACGATGCGCGGGTCGGCCGCACCAAGCCGTCGACGGCCACGCGGATCAGCTTGGGCTGGAAGAAGCTGTCATTCCCCAGGGGCAGCGGGTCCGACTGGCCCGGCCTGCCGTGGAAGTCGGCTTTTGAGAAGCCCTCGGAGCACCGACTCTTGTCCACCAAAAAGACCGTGATGGTCGTGGTGGTGGCGGCGGGTGGCGCAGCGGTGGCGGCGGCGGTGCCTGCGGCGGCGGCACCTGGCGGCTGCGGTGGCGGTGGAAGCGGCGGCGGCGGCGGTGGAAGCGGCGGCGGCGGCGGCGGCGGCTGCAGCTGAGGCTGAGGTGGTTCCCAGCTGGTCTCGCCGGTGATGGAATTGCCGTAGTAAGTGCGGCCATCAGGGGCCTTGAGCGCCTGCCAGCTGCTTGGGAGACGCGGCGGCGGCGGGAGCGGCGGTGGCGGAGGCGGCGGCGGCGCTGGTTCGGGCCGCTGCCAGCGCGTCTCCTGCGTGCTCGTGCTCGCGTCTCCGGCGCCGTCGCCTCAATCCAGCCGTCGGCAAGCGGCGGTGAAGCCTGGTCCATGGCCGGGCAGGCGCGCCGCAGGCGAAGCGCTCTCGCAGCCTTGTGCGTCCCTCGTACCACCACCTCGAGCCCTCGGGGCACGTTCACGGGTACGTTTACCTGCCCTCACCTGGGCTCCGTTTACCTCTACCTCCGGCGGTCTGAGACAGGTTTACCTTTACCTGAGGCCCCCCACGCCAGCCCTACCTGACCCCCCGCCCCCGCCCTCCGGGCCGAGATGTCGGCTTCGGACGCGCTTTGCCTAACAGTAACACCTTTAAAGCCGTACCGAGGCGTACCCCGACGGTGGCTCGTTGGTGTTTGTGCATATGTCGTTATGGTACATGTGTGTGTCCCTCGCCCCTCGGCCCGCTCTGTAATTTAACCGCTTTTGTACAGAGAGCACGAACTCACACACACACTCTTTTTTTTTGCACAGCAGTCTGACTCCGCGTTTGACCGTGATCCGTGTCGTGGTAACGAAAGGTCCGTGTACGTGTACTGGTGGCTTGTGCGGCTAGAGCGTACTACACCAACACCTCCACATCCCCAGCGGCCAGCGCCCCCGTCGCCATCCGCCACATGAGATCATGACACTTGAGACACCACGCACCTAGATGCCGCCTGCGATCCTGCGACTCTAAGAGAGCCGCAGAGGAATATGACGTCCAACGCGCAAGACCCGACTGAGACGGCTCAGGCGGCTCGCGTCTATGTCTCACCATGGGCATGCCACACGTTGAGACATGCCTCTGGGTGACTTGTATGCCCCCGGTGGGGGGCCTCCGTCAAAACGCCGCCCCTCTCAGAGCAACTCGTCGACGGCCACGCGCGCCTGGCGGCGGCGACGAGCCACGCCTGCGGCTGCGGCGAGGAGGAGGGCCGAGACGGAGGCGAGGAGCAGCAGGCTGGTCGCCGGGCCCCCGTGCGGCGGCGAGGAGGAGGACGGGAGCGGCTCTGTGGAGAGAGCCTGGCGGCGGGGGAGGGGGGGGGGGGGGGGTCCGAAGGGGGGGAGGGGGGAGGGGGGGGGGGGGGGGGCCCCCCCATAAAGGGGGCAGTTTGGAAATTCTGGGGCCCCTTGAAAAACCCGGTTTTGTTCCAGGCCCCCCCCCTGGTCTCCCCCCGGAAAAATGGTTAACCCCCTGTTAACGGGGGGGGCCCCCCTGGGGGCCCCCCAGCGGGGTCTTTTCCCCCCAAACCCAGGAATGCCCCCCCCGGTCTTTCCCCGGGGCGGGGCACCCCGGTTTTTGCCCAAGGGCCCCGTTGGGGGAGGGGGCCTTGGAACAGGCGCCCAGCGCCCCCCAAAACCCGGGGCAAAAGCCTCCCTTGCCCCCCCCCCGTCCCCAGAGATTTCTCCCCCAAGTGGGCCCAAACCCCCTCCCGTTTGGGCGGGAAAAACCCCCCCCCCTTAAAAAAAGGCCCCCCGCCCCCGGGGGGCCCCCCCCCCCCCCCCCC